AAGATTTTTTTCTTCCAGATTTGTAAAAAAATCTTTACATGATAGAAAAAAAGAATATTATTTTCTAAATCTGCGTAGCTGAATTACGGAAAATCCATTATTAAAACCAAATCAATTTTTATGAAATTTAAATTCTCAAGCCTATGTAATCAGTTGTTAACTCTCATTAGTGTCAGAAACAACTGTTACCCTATTACTATTTATTCTTGATACTACTGTCACCTACTAACTTCATGTTAAATATTTTAAGGTTACTCAACTTGTCTCGGTTTTAAGCATTTTAAGTATCAGATATAATGAGCGATTTAATTTTAATCTTGTTAGGTGCCTTTATCATCTCTCAATTTGTTGTTAAGCTAAATTTATACCTCAAATAAATGGCATTGTTTTCTTTATCAGGCAGTTTCACACTATGAGCAAGCAGCAGACTACTTTAAAGGTGAAGAATCAAGCAGGTGTGTTCAAGTATTAAAGAAATGACACTTATCTGACGTGTTCAACTTTGATAAATCTTACTAGATGTGTAACTTTAATGTTGGTTTTTATCAACAATACTGAATATTGTCACATATAATGTCAGCTATTAATATTAGTTTTTTACTCTTGAACTACAAACAACCTGTAGAATCTCAAGCTAATTATGCTGGATGCTAAGTGAATAATTTCTCTAACATAGTAACTCTTCATTTTAATGGCGATTAATAATAATTTTATTTTGTTGTGCAATAACAACTGGACAAAGTTAAATGTTGAAGTGTGTGGATGAATGTGTATAATAAGTGTTACAGATAATGTGTAGATGACTAGTCAATGAATAACGTGTATAATAAGTGTTGCAAATAATGTGTAGATGACTAGTCAATGAATAATGTGTATAGTAAGTGTTACAGCTAATGTGTAGATGACTAGTCAATGAATAATGTGTATAGTAAGTGTTACAGCTAATGTGTAGATGACTAGTCAATGAATAATGTGTATAGTAAGTGTTACAGCTAATGTGTAGACGACTAGTCAATGAATAATGTGTATAGTAAGTGTTACAGCTAATGTGTAGATGACTAGTCAATGAATAACGTGTATAATAAGTGTTGCAAATAATGTGTAGATGACTAGTCAATGAATAACGTGTATAGTGTGTGCTACAGATAATGTGTAGATGACTAGTCAATGAATAATGTGCATAATAACAGTGTGCAGATATTTTTGTGTGAATGAATAATCTATTATAATAATACTCAGTTTCTGTCTGTCTTGAAAATGGGTGCATACCTTACTATCTAAATGTGCATTCACACACACTTCATTTCAATGGATGTGAATATAATTTAGTAGACATTTTGTTTAACAACATATTAAAAGTGTATAAAAGTTTTTAAAAAGACCTCACATTAGGTTGTAAAATAACATTGTAAGTTTATTTACTGATAGTACTATGTACAGTAAAATATAGCCCAAATAAAATAAAGCAAGAAACGTAGACAAGTTACAAGTAATTTATCTTTTTTATCAAATATAGGCCATACTTAATAAAGGCTTGACTAAGGTTAAACTGAAGACAAGTGGACTTACAGATTTAAGTGTGTGTGTTTAAAATTATTTTGTATAACTCTAGAAATCCTGTATTTAAAGAAGTATTGTTGCAATAAAGATAACTAACTTGACCACTAATGTTTTGTGGATCTTTGGTAGAGTGTATAATAACAGATTACCAGGTGTTGATTAGATGACTAGCCAATGAATGTATATAATAACAGTTTACCAGGTGTTGTTTAGATGACTAGCCAATGAATGTATATAATAACAGTTTACCAGATGTTGTTTAGATGACTAGCCAATGAATGTATATAATAACAGTTTACCAGATGTTGTTTAGATGACTAGCCAATGAATGTGTATAATAACAGTTTACCAGATGTTGTTTATATGACTAGCCAATGAATGTATATAATAACAGTTTACCAGATGTTGTTTAGATGACTAGCCAATGAATGTATATAATAACAGTTTTACAGCTGTTGTTTAGATGACTAGCCAATGAATGTATATAATAACAGTTTTACAGATGTTGATTAGATGACTAGCCAATGAATAATGTGTATAATAACAGTTTACCAGATGTTGTTTAGATGACTAGCCAATGAATGTATATAATAACAGTTTACCAGATGTTGTTTAGATGACTAGCCAATGAATAATGTGTATGCAGATTTTGTTGGTAATTCAAAGTTATGATAATGCATAAAGTGAACCAATAGTGTTTGTGTTCTATAAATAGGTTATACTCTATTCTTTAACATTACTTTCATTAACACTATTGGTTAGAATGTTAACACTTTTATTATTATTATTATTACATATTTTCATTATAGAGAATGATTACTGGGAATTATCTTAGTATATGGATTTAGGATTAACCTAAATCTTTTAAGCTTGCCAAATCTTCTAAGATATTATTGGAATTATACCTGAAAATATCAGCAAAGATACCCAACTTGTCCATGTTAACAAACAAAATATTTCATTAGTGGGATGATTTTTAATTTTGTTTTGATCAGATGCTCATAATTAACACTGTTGACTATAATGTAATAAAAAGAATCTTGTGTCACTAAACTTTTATGGTCTGTTTTTTTCCAGTTCGGCTAATAAGTGCTTACTGAACGTTGCTAAGTACGCAGCCCAGTTAGAACAGTATGACAAAGCTATAGAGATTTATGAACAGGTAAGAGGGTTTCACTGTTGTCTAGCCACGACATGAAGATGTCGTCTACATATCTTAAACTACATGAATGATAATGAAGAATTTACATTTACTGTGGAATCCAATGGACTTGAACTGGCTTTCTTAGACGTTCTTGTTCAAAAACATGATGACAAATTAGAATTTAGTGTATTTTGCAAACTGTTTTCCATAAGCACATTATAACTCTAACTACCCTTTAAGTCAGAAAGTATACATATTTTACATGTATACTTTGAATGCTATTAATATATGTTCTGATATCACAGATATAAATAATGAAAAAATGTACTAAAAAGCAGTAGCAGTGGATAGAGGTTATGACCATATAATTATTGACAGAGCTTTTCACAAACTGAATGACGAACATCTACAAATGAAAGCTTCGTAATTAACTCCATTAAAATCGTCACAAAATAAGTTCATTAGTATGTAATTTTTGCTGAGATTTCATAAAAAGTTACTAAACATTCTGATTAAAGGGTTATAATGTTTCTCTCATTCCTCAAAACAAAATTGTTAATCATTTACAAACACTCAAAGATTAAAAAAAAAAAACAACTGAAGATAAAGATGGAATTTATGAAATCAGTTGTGGTAAAATATACATAGGATAAACAAGAAGGAAATTAAAAACGAGACTGGAAGAACACCGGTATGACATAAAACATGGTAACACTATGTTCTGTATTGTCGCTGTGGTGGTAATTATGACTGGAAAAATGTAAATATTTTAAGAAATGCACAAATGAACATAGAAAGGAACGTAAAAGAGAGTATTTGTGTAATTAAAAATAGATCTGTGTGTATAAATAGAGAAGACGGACCAATTAACATGTCCTATTAAATACTTATTAAACTTAATGAGTATTCCCTCCTCTACATTTTACTTTCCACCCCCTTGTTTTCTGACCCTGTTTTGAAAGTGAACTCACCCATTAACGGTTTGTAGCTGTATATATTCTAAGCTATCACTGTAGATATTAGAAATTCAAAAATAGGTCAAACAATATCCAATTTTTTATATTAAAAACTTGGCGATTGTTTAAACTATTCTTTAATTTCGATATGTTTGTCGCCTATGCGGTTAACTATATTTTTCTTACTGTAGATATGACAATGGTAATTGTGTTACCGAAACTAGTCGGCTGTAAGGAATAATAAATATTTTACTGTTCATTGGGCAAAAAACGTTGGTTTTTGTGTTTTGTACTCAAAATATAGTAACACAATATGCTTCAAAAAAATTACAATATGGTTTGTTTAACTTTTGTGGAAAGCTACTCGAAGGCTACCTGAGCTAGCCATCCTTAATTTTGAAGTGATAGACTAGTGGGATTACAGCTAGTCAACATCACCAACTTGTGGTCTGCTGTAATCAAGAACTGGGATTTGACTGTCACTATTATAGCGAAATTACGATCCTAAAATGTAGAGCACGATTTCTCTCTCTCTCTTTTATTTGATGTGGTAATGTGGCATGAAATTCTGATCCACAGTTTGGCACGCTAAGCTTTGGACCGTAATCGTTCCCAGCAAAATTAAACATTATTAAAGCATGATTATTGTTAAGCAAAGCACCAAACCACGCTGTCTTAAAAATTATATGATATTAAATTACAAAGATAAGAAGCATATGGCTTATTTAGCTAAGCCTTTATAGCTTTTGTTCTCAATGACAACCCTGTACTTAAAAATATAAATTTTGAGTTATTTTGATAACTTGAATTAATTTACTTAGCTTGTGTAATTATATACCAAGTTTTTCGTTGTTTTTATTTTAGTTTAATAGTCCTTTTCTCATCAGTAATAACCTAAAATACGTTAATACTGTAACCTGCTCTAGAAAAAATGCTATTTATGCAATCCAATGCCGAAAATGTAACAACCAGTATGTAGGTTGAACCAGAACAACTATAAGGGACAGTTTAATAACCAGAAATCTTCAATCATAATGAACAAAGAACTTCCTGTGGCAAAAACTTTAACACGCCTGACCACTCTCTTGAAGACATTAAACTGACAGGTATAGAAACAATTTTTACATTAAACAGAAACAGGGAAATTAAAGAATCTCATTGGATAGCACTGTCAAATACTGTAACCCCGAATGGAATCTATCTCCATCCCAGGAATGTTGACCTTCGTACGTCTCTAAAAAAATTCCGAAGAAAATTTTATAATTGAATTTATTTGTTAATTTTATTTTGTTTTACTATTAGTATTATCTGTATTTCTATTTACGTGTCTATTTCTCTATATTGGTATTATTTACTATATATTGCTTTAAATTACCATTTTCTCTAATTCCCATCCCATTTTGTTGTTTATTTTATATTTCTATTGTATGAAAACTGTTTTAACATCTTTTTATCTGTTATAATTCTTACGACTTGCATGTAATGTACACATTTCTTTTAAACTAAACCTGACAGTAACGTCTCAAAGGTCAACTCATCTGGAACGTCCAGCTTACGTGATGTCGACATCTGTACCTACATATTACGTTGCACTCAGTAATCAAGCAATCAAGTCTTTTTTTTGTCTTACATTTGTCTTCTCTGTTCCTATAGTTACGAGTTTAGCATCTCGGAAGACTACAATATAACATAACATAATGTTTGAGATAACATGGGACCTATTGGTCCATCTCAGCTGTCCCATCCTCAAAACTACTAATAAATAAATAAATTTAAAAGAAAAACATCAACACAGAAAACCAGCCCTTATTATTCGTATATTTATCAAGCTTTCTCTTAAACTTGTTTAAATTTACTGCCTCATCATCTGAAGGCAACCCATTCCAAAGGTCAATCACCCTGTTAGAAAAATAAAACTGTCTTACTTGAAGATGACTCCTACTTTGTCAAAATTGGTATTTGTGTTCCCTAGTCTTACTATTCTCACTGTGAAATATGAATGATGCATGAACACTATCAATTCCCTTTACAATCTTAAACACCTCAATCTGATCTCCACTAACTCTTCTTTTCTCAAGAGAAAATAATTTAAGAGATTTCAACCTTTCCTTGTATGACAACCTCTACATCCCAGGCACCATTCTAGTAACTCTGCTATGAACCCTTTCCAACAATTCAATGTCTTTGTTAAGGCAAGGAGCCCAAGACTGAACACAATATTCCAAATGTGGCATAACCAGTGACCTATACAATGATATTATAGCTTCCTTAGACTGGTATTCAATATTTCTGTACATACAACCTAAAATCCTATCTGTCCTACCACTAGCAACAGCACACTGCTTGAATGGCTCAAGAGACTGATCAACTATTACACCAAGATCCCTTTCTTTCATGACACTGCTAAGGTTATTTCCATTCAAATTCTACTTGTAATTCAAATTATGATAACCCACATGCATTATCTTGCATTTATTATAATTAAAACCCATCTGCAATTTATTTGTCCAACTCACTGAATGATCTAAATCCTTTTGTAAATCACCAGCATCCTCTTCGCAGCAAGCAACACCCAAAGCCTTAATATCATATGCAAATTAAAGGAATTTATTGACCGTTCCTTCATCTATGTCATTAATGTGATTCAAAAAAGAGCAAAGGTCCTAAGACTTAGTCCTCAGGTACCCCACTTATTACACTAATCCAGTTTGACTGAACTCCATTTGTAACAACCCCCTGCTTTCTTCCACCCAGCCACTCTTCTATTCAATTTGCTAACTTATCTCCCCCACACCTACAGAGAATTTTTTTACAAGCCTTTTACTTGT